GTAAAAGTATGTTATAATATCATTACTCAAAAAGATATCATCTCAGTGATGAACGAGACAACTCCAATTATTATCAATGCAAAATAATTGTTACATTAATGTGTATTTATTACAACATTTATTATACGTGATGTATTAATTATTTAAGTGTCGATCAATATAACTTTACAAACTTCCTAACTGGAAACTCCTTGTTTCAAATCGAGTATGTATAACTCGTACGCTTGTGTACGAAAACATCTTGACTTGAACCAAGGATACAAAGTAATGAACACAAACATATTTTAGTCACAAAAACAACATCATTAGAATATAAATGTAGAAAAATATTACAGGAAGAATTGTTACACCCTTTAAAATGATTAAATTTGTAATAACTACTTTAAATTTAAGTCAAGTAACATTAATTTTTAGACTGATATACAGAACATAAAAATTAATTCTTTGAAAAATGATAAAGTGACACACATACTATATAACGGTAAAATGGTAATAAATAAGTAAAATTTATATTTTTTGAAAAAAAGAAAATAATAAAAATAACAAAGGATATTATCAAATTAAAGTAAAAATGATGTGGCAAAGTAATAGTATTGTTAACTCTTTTTCACTGTAAAGTATATTTCTATAGCTTTGTCTTGACCTCTGATAATACAGTACAATTTACATAGGTACGTGTAGTTCCTGAATTGTATTTATAATAATAAAGAAGTATGTAGGTGATTCTTTTCCTTAAGAGACAAAGAATGTCTGGAAAAGACCGAAGGGAATGTCTAAAGAAAATGATATCACAATGCAAGGCCCTTTCACTTTTTAACCTTTCATTTTCACCCAATCATGAAGGCATTTTTGAACAATTTGGGGTTTCTGAGTTTCCGTGTCTCAAGTTTTCCTTTTATCCATCGAACCTCTCTAGGACTAAACTGACCCTTCCAAGAGGGGTAACAAAACCTGCACTAAAGGACAACCCTTTCTGCCACACACTCTTGCTTAGTATTTATTCTCTTTTGTTTCTTCACAGACCACCACCCTTTCTTCCTCTCCTCTCTTCCCTCTACCTCAACACAATTCAATGAAGCCTCAAGCTGCTGAGAGCGATCTCAGTTCTCTCAAACGCTCCCCACCTTCAACCATGTCGTCTTCTTCCTCTTCTCTCGTCACCACCCTTGTTGATCATGCTAATAACCCTTCACACCCTCCTCCGCCAAGACCTCCTCGCCGTCGTTTTGTTTCTCATCACCTTCCTGAGATAAGCCTCAAAACTCCTATGGTTAGGCCTTATGTTCGATCAAAAATGCCCAGGCTTCGTTGGACACCAGATCTCCATCGCTGCTTCGTGCATGCAGTTCAGAGACTGGGAGGAGAAGACAGTAAGCTTCTTATACATATCTTTTTTGTTTTTCACGTACCCTTTTGGAGTCACAATCAGGTTGGTCACCGGAGGTGAACACTTTTCTTAACCAAGGTTATCTCGTAAAAAGATCAGTCTCTTTACGCAACTCTCGTGTTCTATTTATATATGTTAAAGTCTTATTTTTGTCAAAGAAAAGGCTGAATTTTTTATCCGTATGTTTCATTGGTGAAGCTTTAGTTTTGAGTGGTGTCGATTTGGATTTACAGGGGCCACACCAAAGTTGGTCTTACAGCTCATGAATGTAAAGGGGCTTACCATATCTCATGTCAAAAGCCACCTTCAGGTTACTCTTTTCTCCACAACCACGAATAAAGTCATGGGGGAAAAAGGCGTTATGTTATGAGTTCACTTCCTGGTTTCTCTTTCTTATTTAATTTATCTATTTATTTAATTTATCTATTTTGAAATGATAAAACAATTTCCTGATAAAGAATGCAACTCCTTCATAATTTATTGTTCGTGTTAAAGTTTCAAAATGGTTGTGTATTGATGACAGATGTACAGGAGCATGAAGCAGGAGCAGATGAATGAAGGTATATAATTGTACTGTGCATCAGTTACTTATGAGCAAGTTCTCGTGTCACAGATGTATGCATCGTGTATAAGGAAGATATAGATAGGTGTAGACTACGTTAGACATTTTGTTTGGTTCAATAGAGGAAATTAGATCTATAAACACTGAAAAGAATATATAAATATATACATATATTTACCAGAGAAAATAAAGGAACCAACCAGGGGTTGTGGACCCTTTTCCGTCACAAAGAAGACGAAAGTAACGTCAAATATTCTTCAGGATTTTGTTCCAACAAAATTAACTTTTAATGTTGGGTACTGTTGCACATTTTTTTCATGAGATCATTTACCGACGTTGAAAATTATTCAAATGAATTATACTGTATCGTTTTATTACATATTAATAATTAATAATACTTGTTAATTATAACGTTTTCTTAACCCCCACTAGAATTTATAATTAATTATTATTTATTAATTTTTTTGTAATAGGTGCAAAGAAGAATGATGTGGCTCCGGAGTTTGTAGCCTCCACATTCTCAACTCTTGGCCCAAGATACACCCAACAGAATCCTCCCCAAAGAACCTGCACGGAACAGCTTCTTCCCACCCGTGCTCAATGGTATTTCTTGTTCCATTTACTTTTCTTTGGAAAATATTTTTTACACTAGATTTTTTAAATTATGAAACATATAGGATATATATTTTACATAAGGCATAATTAGTAAAAAAATATAGTTGGATAGAAAATCAGCATCACATGTTTTTCTTTTATGTTACATGTCTTTATGTACATGTGGTCTGTGTGTGTCAGTATCATATCATGTGTGTTTATTTTGTATTATTTTTAAAAGTAGTGAAAAAATAAAGCATTGGTATATTTTTTGGATTAAGATATTAATAAAGAAACGACTTTATAAAATACACCTGTAACACTTGTTTTTAAATGTTTATTTGTCAACATTTTAACAAAATTACGCCAATAAAACTATTTTAAATTAAGACATTTTTAATTACATTATATCATATACAATGCCTAAAAAAGTGAACTTCTGTTTAACAGATAATTTAAAACCTGCAACAATCTAATTATACAGTTCACAGAAAAATAGAAACTCCTCCAGCCAAATTAACTATATCATAAAATTGTTTAACTTATAAAGAAAAGCTGCATTTCTCCAATTTTGTTAACTAAGCGAGCAAAGAAAGGTAAAAACATCATTCCATATCCAATTTATAGGAGTAGAATTAGGAAAATGTGACATGCCGGTCTGATTGAGAAAGATGGAACAATTAATTTGATGGTTAAGACTTAAATTTCATCCTGAAATTTGTGTGTGAAAAGATATTAATTAGTTTCTCCATTGGGCTGTGAGATGAGTAATTTGTTTTGTTATGGCATGCAGGAATGATTGTAAGGAAGGGTGTTACAGTGGAAAGCATGGGGGTAAATCGATTAATGAAGAGAAGATGCAGCCCTACATCATCTTCGAGGGTGTTCTGAGTGGCCAGACTGTCCAAGTAAGTAACTCCTTCTTCTCATCAGTGTCTCGTTGATTTTCTGGCTGCCCCCACGCACACATACATGATACACAATACTAATGCAACAAAACTTAATTATTATACAATGCTGAATGAACAGTTTATTCCATTTTGTTTTTCAGGAGAATAAATTTGGTCCTGAAAAGGTGTCACTATGGGGTGCCACCGGATACGAAAGCGACCGTGAAAGATTCCAAGACAGAACTACTATTGCCATAGAAGGAGGAGGAGGAGGAGAGAGAATGCGTGAGAGCTCACTGTCCTTATCAATGACCTCCAGGGCTACTTCCCATTCATTCTTCAATCGCAGCCACTCCGGTCCAGATGCTAATGATGTCTCTCTTGAGCTCACGCTCTCTTAGAATCATGCACATAATAATAACATTCTACCTTTGTCATTTACATATATTTCCTTCCTACAACTACACTACAAACGCTGCCTCACCATCACTTTTCAAACAACACAACAACACTGCTATCGAGTGCTCTTCCGACATTCCTTTACAAATTTTATATATTTTCATAAAAACATTATCTTTTTTATTTATTTATTTCTTAATCAATGTCTCTGAAACACTTCGTAGCACCCCGAGCCGGACGAACTTGTGATGCTAACGCTGCTTCAATTGGGATCATTTTCTGATCTCAAGTACTTTCTTCTGATTTATAGAATTATTATTATTATTAGTACTGCATATCTTGTTCTAATCTGATTTGTTAGTATTCAGTTTTATTAATTGTTGAAGTTTTAACTTTTTGCTGTCTTTATCAAATAGATAAATGTTTTTTCGAAGGAAAATGTTATTTGGACAACAAAAGTTTGACACAATTTTGACAACGGCGACGTGGCAGCTGTGCATTGACTTAGTGAACCGGGTTGAGGGGTATTTTGGGTTTTTTCTGGTTTGTTTTCAATTCACTGAGCCAATGCACAGCTGCCACGTCGCCGTTGTCAAAATTGTGTCAAACTTTTGTTGTCCAAATAACATTTTCCTTTTTCGAACCACTTGTTCCGGTTAACAAATGAATATTTATATTTATATAAAAGAGAAAGATTGAAAAGTAAAATAATAGATGGAAAGTGTGTGTGAAAATAAAAGCAGATATATCAGATATGGCTTAAATATTTCTGATTTGATACATAATAGTAAATATATTTATTCATTCGTAAATAGTATTTTTATTTTTCAAACAGCGTTACAGGTTACTATTTGTGAATTAGAAAATTTATTTTTTAGAAAGGACTTTGAAGACATGTGTAGAAAATCTGATTGCGTAAAGTTAGTTTTGAAAGTAAATAAATATATAATTAGAAAAACGAGTTTATGGTTGGAAGTGAATTTGGAGCAGTGTGATGGAAGAGTGAAAGGGGTAGGTGATGGAGCAGGGAATGCGTGGGGCAACTGCAAAGTTTAAACGCAGAAGAGCAGAGTGTTATTGTGTTAGAGCTGTGGAAAACTTATATATTATGGATGTGTTGGGGGACATTCCCTTGTATCGCAAACCATTGCCTTTATAGATAGCAGTCATGTTTGCCAAATTGCTTTTGCTTGCTTTTCTTTTAGCAATTATCGGCTGCCAGGCCAGAAAGCTTGGGGGGTCTGATGACGAGAAGGAAGTTTTTCACCATTTGCATGTCTATGGGGGTGCTGGTGGCTCCGCCGGCGGCATAGGTGGCGGTGGAGGGAACGGTGCATATGGGGGTGGAATTGGAAATGGCCACGGAGGAGTTGGGGGTGGGATAGGGGGTGGAAATGGAGGATTTGGCGGCGGGGGCGGAGGTGGAGGAGGTGGAAATGGAGGTTTTGGTGGTGGGAACGGAGGATATGCAGGTGGAAGTGGTGGTAATGGGAACGGAGGATTTAATGGTGGAAACGGAGGATTTGGTGGTAGCGGTAGTGGAGGGAATGGAGGTGGTGGTGGAGTAGGAAATGGAGGTGGTGGGGGAGTAGGCAGTGGCGGTGGTGGAGGAAGTGGGGGTGGAGTAGGCAATGGCGGTGGCGGAGGAAATGGAGGTGGGGGTGGAGTAGGCAATGGCGGTGGTGGAGGGAATGGAGGTGGTGGTGGAGTGGGCACTGGCGGTGGTGTAGGGAATGGAGGTGGTGGAGGAAATGGAGGTGGTGGTGGAGCAGGCACTGGCGGTGGTGGAGGAAATGGAGGTGGTGGTGGAGCAGGCACTGGCGGTGGTGGAGGAAATGGAAGTGGCAGTGGAGCAGGCACTGGCGGTGGTGGAGGAAATGGCGGTGGTGGTGGAGTAGGCAATGGCGGTGGTGGAGGAAATGGAGGTAGTGGCGGAGTGGGCACTGGCGGTGGTGGAGGATATGGAGGTGGTGGTGGAGTAGGCAGTAGCAGTGGTGGTGGAGTAGGCAATGGCGGTGGTGGAGGAAATAGGAATGGAAGCGGTGGTGGGATAGGCAAAGCGGATATGAAGAGACATGTGGATAATTTACTGATGAACACTTGTGTCGTGAAACTTTCCGTATTTTGTTAGTTAGTAAAGTTGTTCTTATTTGGGAGTGAAAAATATTTTATTATATAGAATAACAACTTCATATTTCATAAAAAATTGTTTTTTGTTAGGATTTGACTTTGGCCTATATGTTTCCGTGCATTGAAAACTTACAATTTTTTCTTTTGAGAATTTAATTTTAAGATGTAAACTCCTTCAAGATGTTCTTATTTAAATATCAAGATATATTTCATTAATATATAAAAGAATAAACCTTTAAAGTCATGTTTCAAAATATCATCTAATTTTGATTTAAAAA